ATATATATATATATATATATATATATATATATATATATATATATATATATATATATATATATATATATATATATATATATTTAAATTTCAGACAAGATGATCTACAAGCTACTTTACAAATCGCATTAACATTTCATAGCCCGGTGCTTGTTGAGGTCCAGAGGGCTCAGTCCTGATTTTAGGACACACACACACACACACACACACACACACACATATATATACACACACACACACAGATTTTAAGTCAGAGAGAGTTCACTGAGTCTCCTGTAAATTCAGCAAAGGTCCCGTGTGCTTCAGAAATCCCAAACAGTGGGGGAAAAAAACAAATATATTTGGGCGGAGCTTTGTAAATGAGGACGAGGAGGTAATATTGGTGCTGAAGTGACATCCAAGAAGAAGCTTTCAGATAATGTGGGCGGGTTAAATAGTGTTTTTCAAGCAAAAAACAAAGCAAAATTTTTTTTTTTTTGCGGTTTGTAACTTGTACAGTGATGTGACATATTACAAGCAGGCGAATGCACAAATTATATATCTATACATTACATATATATTAAAAAAACAAACAAACAAACAAAAACTCCTCAGTTGCATTTGATCGCACAATAGATCTTTGTGAACCACACACACACACACACACACACACGGGCACACTAGAGGAAATGAACATTATTGTAAAGTCAAAGAATTAAGGAGGGATTATGAACAGGAGTCTCAGCTCAGGAAACATTACAGTGCTGAACTACAGCAACACTAACGGGAGAAAAACTATTCTACACTTTCTAGAGTTGATTTTAGAGTCAATATATATTTTTTTCCCTTTAAGCAAACAAACGTAGATGTGTTGTGTCTTACACTCAGGAGCAACTTATCATCCGGGGAATACAGTAGTGTGTACAGTATTGCATGGTGCATTTGTCTTTTTTTTGTAAATGCTGCTGAGAAGAAGAAGCCATAAACCCAGAATGTCGTACAGTTGTACAGCACACGAATGTCAGTGCCACAGGTGGGATCCAGAAGGAAAAAAAAAACAGCATTATATATTTCTTGCAAGACTTCTGAAAATCTGTCTGGTCCACGAGGAGGGAAAAAAAAAAAGCTTGGCGATGAAAAGGTGACACGTTTAATCGTTCTGGATGCAGTCCAAATCGACCGAGCAGCAGATTTTCCCGTTCTGCAGGAGACCAGAGTGTGATGTTATTTATCAGCCACAACACACCACAAAATAAAAATGCTAATCATCCATCAGCTTTATCCGGCATGCTGTAAAACATGCATTCTAACCAAGTCAATCTTGTTGTATTGACTGTTTATAATGGCTGGCCTGCAACTGCACTCCCAGAACACTAATCAGTTTTATTTAGCAGCTCATTATCATTGCTGCACTCAATATCATCTGTTACCTCGAAGGCTATGTGAAAATCACATAACATTAATGAACATAATGAACAGACGAGAAAACATATTTGTATTTGTATTTGCGATATGTAACTATTTATGAATCATATGTTTCGTAGATAGCAATTTATTTATTGTTTTTCACATGGTTAAATTTAGCTAGCTAACATGACAAGCAGTGTATGAAAGTCGCTAGTGTTAATTAGTTGGTTAATTATTGGCCTAGTATTTTTTTTATTGTAATTATCAAAAATTGTTAGCCTGGCTGGTGAGCTACTGTGAGTAAGCATGCTGAATCCTGAAACACATGCAGCTGAGGTACAGTTATAGACAATATTGTTACATCATAAATTGCACGAGGCTACGCCTACATTTGAGTGAAAGCTCCAGTGTGTTGGAGTGGTAGAGCAGTGGTAAAGTGTGTGTGTACCTTGCATGTGCAGGTGGTGCATGGTGCATTGGGATCGCTCCACATGGCCCCGCTGAGGCGTGTGACGCCGTTGGGGTCGTGACATGTCTGCCTGGGGTCAGAGGTCTCAATGTTGTCGACACAGGGGTCAGGAATGCAGCGAGGACAACACTCCCCCTCCAACACGGTCGAGTGATTACACAGTAGGACAGGACACGAGAGAGATACACACCCCACCTCTCCCTGCTACACACACAAGAGCAAGAGAGAGAGAGAGAAAAATCAGAATGATGCACATGGAATGAAGCAAATGCCGACATTTTCAATGCTTTGGCTTGAAACTCTTGAAGGAAAACACATGGATACGGTGTTGGATACTGTGAAAATCATCAAAGAAATAAAACGAGAGATGGCTGTGGGGAAAAACGGATGATCACTTCCCAATACGAAGATAAACCACAGAATAAAATTGCCATTATAATGCCTCACTGATAAATATCTTCAGCTTTCTTGTAATAAACAGCATAATAAATTAGGACCCGTGAGAAAAATACTCCAACAGAAAGAGAAAGAACTTAAACATTAAACCATCTTTATGTCTTGGCAATATGGTGCCAATTCATTATTGTAACATTAATATGATTTGAACTTGACCCTGCAGCCATTTTTCCATTCAGAGTAAATATATAGCAAAGTCTTTTGGAAGTGATGTGTCCATCCCTCTTGTCCCTTAATATATAATCACAATACTAGAAGGGCATTTTAAAGTAATAGTTTCGACCTTAATAATGGCTGTGTTGAGCGTCCTCCCTTTGAAATCCTCCGCGTAGGATTTATTTACTTCATTTGTCCCATACAGAGATAGAGAGAAACAGGTAGTGTATGAAAGAATGAATCCTCTCCAAGTGCTCCAACAAAAGACACTCCTCAACCATTTTATCTCATTATATGACCCTTGTTCTTGTGTAGAGGAAGTGGATTTTCCATCAAAATTTTTATGACAATTTTATAGCAATGTACTGTATATATATATATATGTTCAAAGTGACATTAAGCTAAATGACCTTTACCAAGGGTGCCAATATTTCTGCTGACTGTTGTGTGTATATGTTTGATTGGACTACTGGGGTTCCAAGAGTGCTGATATTTAGTATAACAGCACTGGTAAATGTTACTGTGTGCATCACTCCATTTGTCTTGTTCACTACATAAAATTTCCAATTTTTGCAACACACAACTCTCTATCCAGCTGTGACTTCTTTGGGAAACATTTCTTTGACAGAATATGAAAAAAGGCCAAAATATTTATTTTCAAACTGCTGCATCACAGGGTAGTGTGACACTTGGAGAAAAGTGTTATCTGCCCTCTTCCGCATACATGAGCTTACAGCCAAGCACAACTGGCTAGTGTCACTGTGATTGACAGGCGAGAGAGAGAGTATGGCCCTCCCACCCAGAGAGCATGGACAATTTTGCTCTCTTGGACTCCCGGCGACATATTTTATATTTATCAAATATTTATGCATTTATACCAATGGGCATGGAAAACATTTACATAGTGTAAGCGAGATAACAGCCAAAAAAAAGCATCCCATTGACAGAGGAAACACTGTTTTGTCACTGCGTTCACTGTCTCTGCATTGTCAAGTTCATGTCTGATATCTGATTGCATTGCTGGTTTGTTCTTCTACTCATCAAAGGCATAAAGTGGCTTGCAATGATTTTGCATTCAGTCCCATTTATGCTTTAGTTCAGAAAATTTCAGATACATCCACATACCACCACGTCCTCTCCACACTTTCCCTGTGGATTCCCAGCACGAGCTGCTGTCTGACCAAAAGTTGACATAATTACACGTCTCTAGGTCTTTTACAATCTAGACTAGCTTAAATTAGAGTCTGACCTTTAAGTGCCACTCTTATTTATAAAACCAGTGCTAAGCTATTGAGCTTTGTGTTGGCTTCTCTGATAAGTGCATTTCTGTTTGGGCGAGTGAGTGATGGAGGCTGTAATTTCTCCTCATTTGATTTGATTAATAGAGGAAAAACCTCTGCCAGAATTGCTGTCTAGGCAGCTCATGGGTCTTTCAATTAGCTAAATGTGGACATGTCTACTGACAGCTTTGTCCTTTGAGAGTTTCCAGCTTGATGCAGATGAACTGTCTCGAAAATAAAAGTGAATGTGCAACTACTGCGTTAACATATACATATATATATACACACACATACACACACACATATTATATATATATATATATGGAGTGCTCAGACTGAAACTACATTCACATTACTACTACACTGTGCTACATCTGAGGTTGAGGAAACTGGACAGACGGGTGTCTGTCTCTCCTAGTGTGTAGAGTGAGAGTGGAGAAGGACAGTGTAAAATGGATGGATATGGAGAAAATGGATGGTGTGGTTTTAGCTGTGTTTTTGTAGGCTGAGCGGTGAAACACTTCTCGATGAAAAGATAGATCACTGCAGTAGTTGACCTACTTACTCATAATGGTTCTGCTCTCACAAAGGTAGCAGCAATTAGAGGAGTTTTTCCTTATCCTGCTGTGCATTGTAGAAGTCATATAACAGAATTAATTGCAAAATCTGGCAGCCCACCATGATGCCCTGGCAAACCCTGCCAGCCGCAATGAACTCTGGCTGAAAGGCCATGGTTGAAAAGAGACAGCAGCTTTCAGGATAAGATGAGGTGCAGAAATAATTTTTTTTCCTGTGTTTTTTTTTTATTTAATTAATTTATTTTCATCCTGTATTTATCAACATGCTTTTAAAACAAGTTATTTAAACAATTTTGTTCATTTGTATGGTCATTCTTATTCTTATTATTAACCAGGTGGGTGGATGCACAAAACCAAATAGAATAGCTTTCCACCTTACACATCAAGGTCACACCTTTAACACCAATATGTGTTCATCCATCCATCCATATTCTGTACCACTTATCCTACACAGGGTTGCGGGGAGCCTGGAGCCTATCCCAGGGGACTCAGGGCACAAGGCAGGGGACACCCTGGATGGGGTGCCAATCCATCACAGGGCACAATCACACACACATTCACACACTACAGACAATTTAGACAACACCTCTTTGGATTGTGGAGGAAACCCCCGAAGCATGGGGAGAAAATGCAAGCTCTGCACAAGCAGGGCAGAGGTGGGAATTGAACCCCCAACCCTGGAGGCACGAGGTAAATGGGCTAACCACTAAGCCACCGTGCCCCACAATATGTGTTCATGCACATGTATTTATATAAATTTAAAAAAATAATAAAAAAAAAAAAAATACCCTGCTAAATACCCTGCATAATAAACCCAGTCAATAAAACCTGCACTGATGAGCAGTAGCACCTTAGTAAACAAAAATAAACAATTGACATTTGGGTCACGCGAGCTTCTAATTCCTGTTTTCATAAATCCAGCACCATCTTCAGTGATTAGAGTCGTTATTGGTGCAGACTGCAGTGAATGATGCTATGAAGTATAATTTATAGAGAAGCCACAACTGGGGAAAGCAGCCAGGCGAATATTATTTAGATTAATTTACACCGTACCTGCAAATGTAATTATGTAATGATAACTCAGAAAAACACCAAGAAAGTTAAACAGGGAAGAAAATTTTTTGAACTGCTATCAGTAAGAAAACAGGTCTTCTTTTTCTTTTCCCCCCATGGTGGGTGTGATTCTTAAAATCACTTTACGTAAAGGTTATTTCAGCATTAAATGATTGCCATTTTTGTGTTAGAGTATAATTAACATGCTGCAGATGGGTTTTATATTCTTTCTCCTCTCATCCTATTTCTAGTTCTTGACTTGTCGAGGAGGAAGTGGATTCAAGACTCTCATAATCCTGTGACTTTTGCTAATCTTGTTACTGTTAAAATCTAGTATTTGACTACTATGACTACTATTACTACTAATTTCCCCACAGTTGTATTGCTTTATAAGACTCATTAATTGACATGTAGAAGTGTGGGGGCTGGAGATGCATATCTCCTAATTTATCCAATATTAAAATCCATGAAATTATAGTTTGTGCAAATTATTGAAACCTGTGGGAATACACAGCCTTTTGTGTATTTCAGGGCAGGATGGAAGTTGTTTGTTCTGACTTGCTGGACAATGGACGTGACCTAATTGTTTGGGACCTGAACATCTGCGACACACTTACAGAGCTCTGACCTAACTACAGCATAATACCATTTGTGACAGGCAAAGTGGCAGGCTATGAAAATGCTGCTGTCTATTCATCAGCTTCCTCTGGCAGTGAGTTGAAGCAAACAGCAGATATGGCTGCAGAGCCCGCTAGGAAGGAAAAGGTAGCTCGATATTGAAGCAAACTGAAGATTGGAGTGAAAAGCATAGGCACAGCACAGCAGTGGCACTGAATGCCCTATAGTCTGGTGTTAAGACTGTCTTGGCAAAATTAAAGTTGGATTCCCCAACCAATATGGCTGGACAAGTGCCTATTCCATTTTGTGGTATATTCACCCATGCAAATGGCTGAGCTATTCCACAAAGTACCAATTTTTTTGACAGATGTGCCAGCATTCAAAGCATATGATACACTGGTGAGTGTAAGTTGTATTTCCAATGCCACACTTGCTACTGGCCCTTAAAGAAATAATGCCTGCAGCAAAAAAACAAAACAAAAAAAAAACAGAGAGAACTTCAAGCTAGGGGAGCCACGGCCAAATCACTGGTGCTGTTAAAGCAGATTAGTTGACAAGTTTGGCTGGCTCAAATGCCAAAATCACTGTCAGAACCTGGTCAAAACATGCTATATCAGCTGCCATTGGTACCTGGATAGGTCTTTGGTGCACAGGCCCTGGAAGCATTAAATCATCACCTCCTTTTATTTGAGATGAGAGCAAAACATGAACAAATAGGCTGCTCTTAGACACTCTGTCTGTGCTGGAGCTGGGTTTCAAAGACTGCAACAGTGATGGAAGGAGCCACGCAGGGTGCAGCAGGTATCATGGTGGTTTCATGCTAGGACAAGGCGTAATCAAGTCTCTAAAGCACGATTCACCAAAACTACCCGGGGATCTTGGCAGCAGTTCATAAATCACAGGTCCTGTGGTGGGATGGTTCTCTCCTCTGTAACTAGAGCACCGGAACTTGATAACAACAGAGCAGTGGTTACTGACCTCACTGTCCACAGGGTACCATTTACAGTTTCAGCATTGAACACTGCCAAACACAGGTGTCTGCCCCATACAGGTACAACACTGAAGCCAACTGGCTATGCTGACTGTGAAATTGTAGTCACTAGTAGAAGGACTAGATGGATACGACATGGACCAGAAAGCCTCACAGTTTTTTCCCCAAGATATTTTCTGATTCTAAAAAAGGAGACAGAATCCTTGGTAGCCCACAGCAGCCACTTCAGGTCCACAAATGTGGTGCATGTTATGTGTAGTCTACACCAATTGGGGAACTCTTACCAGAGATGCGCATCAGAAGCACTGGTGAACATGTCTATCATCGCCAACTTTTACTGAACATTGGAAAACAAAGCTCAGGAGGAATAAACAATGGACTGCGGGAAGAGCTCCGCGACCTTGGGCTGGTACACGAACCAGGCCCTGGGACTGCAGTATTGCCGGATGCCGCTGGGTGGGATAGAGGGTTCCGGAAACTGTGCGTGAGGCAGTGGAAGCACGGTAAGTGAGCAGGCATCCATGCTAGGCTAAAGGCTAAGCCTAGCTGCCTGGCTCTACCATCCATTCTCCTCTCCAATGTTAGCTCCCTCAACAATAAACTCCTCTTACTCAGACTACAGCTAATTACCCAGCATGAAGTCAGGGAATGAATCCACAGTCACTTAGTCATTTATGAAAATACCAAGGCCATCACAGACTAGAAAGCTACACTACTTGTCTGTGATGGTGACGCCTCACTCCCAGACACCCTGAACGATTTGTATGCATGGTTCGAAGCACAGAACAACATGCCAGCGAAGAAGAGCACCACAACTCCCACCGACCAAATACTTTGTCTGTCTGCAGTAAACATCAGAACATCAACTCTGGACATCAACTCTGTCCAGAGTTAACCCACGGAAAGCTGCGGGTCCTGACAACATCCCTCCCTCCAGGAATGTGCTGATCAGCTTGCAGACATCTTCAACATTTCCCTGAGCCAAGCAGTTTTCTCTGTGTGCTTCAAGATGACCACCATCATCCCTGTGTGGAAGAAATCATCTGTGTCCTGCCTGAATGACTACTGGTCCATTGCACTCACACCTATAATTATGAAGTGCTTCAAGTAGCTAGTCATGAAACACATAAAGAGCAGTCTTCCCACCACACTGGACCCTTTTCAGCAGTGTCCCAACTGCTCAACATAGGACACTATATCTGATACCATCCACTTTTCTCTGACCCATCTGGACAAAAAGGACAACTACTGTATTTAAGGATGGTGTTCATAGACTTCAGTTCAGCATTCAACACAATTGTCCCACAGAAACTTATAATAAAGCTGAGTCTGCTGAGTTTGAACACCTCCCTCTGCAACTGGATTCTGGACTTTTTGACTGGGAGACCCCAGTCCGTCAGGATCAGCAACTCCACCTCCAGCACCACCACACTGAACACCGGTGCTCCCCAGGGCTGTGTTCTCAGTCCACTGCTGTTTACCCTGCTGACTCATGACTGTGCTGCATGACCACTCACCACTGCATATCAACAGAACCACTGGGAGAGAGTCAAAAACTCCAAGTTTCTTTGTGTGCCCATAACGGAGGATGCAGACGACCCGTCTCACCCCTCTCATGGACTCTTTACACTCCTGCCATCTGGCAGAAGGTACAGGAGCATTTATGCCACCACAAGCAGACTCTGTAACAGTTTCTTCCCTGAGGCAGTCAGATTACTCAACACCTATCTCAGTATGACTCAAAAACATTGCACACCTGCGCCTTACAAAGCTGCATCAGTCACTTTTATTGTGGAACTCGTTTTTGCTGCCAATATTGCTGCTATACTTATTGCTGCTTGACTACAAAATAGTTTACAATTTACAGCCCGTCACAACATCTCACACTGTTGTTTAGTGTACTTGTAGTACACATGTAGTTTTGCATACTGTTTTGTGCTGCACCAAGGTCCTGGAGAAACAATGTTCTGATGTATACTATCTATATAGAGGAATGACAAAACAAAAAAAACACTTGATTTGACTTGATTTAAATGTCTGCCATTCTGTATACACATACACTATATGGCCAAAAGTTTATGGACACCTGACCATCCCACCCATATGTACTTGTTGAACATCCCATTCCAGATTTAGTCCCCCCTTTTGCTATTATAATATCTTCCACTCTGGGAAGGCTTTCCACTAGATTTTGGAGCGTGGCTGTTGGGATTTGTGTTCATTCAGCTAAAATAGCATTAGTGAGGTCAGGCACTGAAGTTGAGTGAGGAGGTCTGGGGTGCAGTCAGCATTCCAGTTCATCCCAAAGGTGTTCAGTGGGGTTGAGGTCAGGGCTCTGTGCAGGACACTCGAGTTCTTCCACTCCGACCTTCACACACCATGTCTTCATGGAACTCGCTTTGTGCACAGGGGCATTGTCATGCTGGAACAGGTTTGGGCCTCTTAGTTCTAGTGAAGGGAAATTTGTAATGCTACAGTGTACAAAGACATTCTATACTTCTATGCTTCCAACTTTGTGGCAATAGTTTGGGGAAGAACCACATATGGGTGTGATGTTCAGGTGTCCACAAACCTTTGGCCATATAGTGTATTAGATGTGACACAAACTGTAAACAAATATATTGGGTTATAACCACAGATCTCAAGGATGCATATTTCCACATTCTTATTGTTGCTGAGCACAGCCAATTCCTCTGCTTCTACACAGGCAGACTGGCACATCAGTTAAGGGTCATTGCCTTTGGGTTAGCTTTGGCACTTTGGCACCTCTAACTTTAGAACTGAAAGTCAGTTTGGAGGAAAATGTTTAGAAAAACCTCCAAGAGAATAGTCAAGTCAGCATGTCAACTGAAATAAAAGCTGTGTGCCTAATATGGCAACATTTTCAGGAACCCCTAAAAGTTCCTAAAATGTACTAGTGTGGACAAACAAACACCATTGTGGTATTTTACATGGTACACAATTGCAAGCTATGTTGAAGTGGGCAAATGAGCTGTGGAAATGGGCAGATGCACACCTCCTGTTGAGAGCTGTGTAACTACTCATACAGCGGATTAGCT